TGTCATCTTGGCCCCAGTTCTGTATTTGGGTCATGGTATCCCCATGTAATTCTCCTACAGGGGTAATTTCCAAAGTAGGAAGAAAATGAGCAGTAAAATTGACTGGGAGGAAAATGTACACACAAAAATGCGAATGGTAATTGGAAGCTATTTGTAAAGAGTTGATGAGCTGTCCAGGAAGGAGAGGGCAACTTTGGCCCCAGTCCAAAACCCACTTCACTCGCTTCAGTGGTGAGATGAGAACAGCAATTAGATATTAGAAAAATCAATATACGACAATTAAAAAAAATGGAAAATGGATAGGAATCAATGGCAGTGAGAAACCATGGCGGGTCAGGAGAGCTGGAGAGGCTGAGGAAGACTTGTGCCTGGCACCAGTGGGGAGAGGAGGAGAGAGGGAGCTTCTCAGGATCCTGGAGAAGAAGGAAGGGATAAATGGAAGAAGCAGTGAGGTAGAAATTTTTGATAAATATTTCTGCTGTAGACCTGGAGAGTGGCTGTGTTACGTTTCTGTATCATAAGGTGGGTGATGATATTTTTTCCTAGCTCATTGGTAGCCAGGGAGGATATGAGTAGAAATAACAAATTTCTCCTTCAAGGAGAGAAATATTTTTAAATAAAAAGGCCCTGAAAAGTTGCACCCAAGGAACCCTGAAAAGTTAACCTGTGATACTGGTTTTAAGAAAGTTTATGAACTGGGAAAATGCTGTCAAGAGCTGGTCAGGGTAAAGTGGGAGATTTGGCAATACTTTGCTTATCTCTTCTGGGCAAAATAACAGAAGAACCAACATAAGGTTCAATTGATAAAGAATTAAAGGATAGAAATATAATTCGTGCCACTCAGCCTAGATTTATGGAATATGGATCTTGTCAAATAAACCTGATTTCATTCTTCTGGATGACAACTTTGGTTGATAAATGTGGATGAAATAGACTGCACTGTGACATTGCTTATGGGAAGACAGAGCAGAGCACTGGGTGGTTCTGCTGGCACAGGTGATGCAGAGCTGGCCAGCACACTGGGGGACGTGGGGCCTTTAGCTGTGGAGCTCAGCAGGTGCTGGTGGGGACCTCAGTGGTGCTTAGTGTTTTGTTGGTGATTAGAAATGAATATGCAGCTCTGGTTGATTGGCTTTGTGGGTAAATCAAAGGTGGGTGCAGAGCAAGAGGGGCAGGTTCATGGGCTGGTCTGGAAACTGTCAGGAAGGATGTGTTGAGAAAGCACCGTGTCCAGCCTCACGTGGCCCTGGGCTGGAAGAGTGGAATAAGGGCTGTGCTTACAGAGCTGGGTGCAGTACCCTGAAAGGTATCAGCCCTGTGGGAAGCTGAGAGGAAAATCAGGTCCTGCCCAGCATGATGCCAGGATGAGGAGGGCTAGGCTGGTTCTTGGGTAGTGGAGGGGTGGCTCAGGACAGATAGTATCTGGATTTTGAAATGTGCCTCAGTTTCACAAAGAACACCGTGGTGTGTGTGAGGAGGCCATTGTGTACCAAGAGCTTTTCAGTGTTTCAACCACAAAGCCCCTCAAAATACAAAGAGAACAGGTAGAGGTTAGAGCTAGAGAAGTTCAGGTGGATCCCAGTACCCGTCTGTGACTGTGGTGGGAAGCAGTGGGTGCTCTCCCTGTCTGCTGAACTGGTTGGAATAGATCTCACTGGAGTTTTGTGCTCTGCCCTGTGCTTTGCAGGGCTGGAGGGGGTTGTGCTGTACTGAAAGACCTTCTGTTGGTCACAGAGTGACATGCACTGCAGGGAGGGTCAGAGGGTGAGAGCTGGCGGTCCCTTTCAGCCTCAAATTCCTGAATTGAGAGGTAGCCAAGGATGTGAGCTCCAGCCCTGCTGCTGGTGGCCAAGGGCTGGTTCAGCAGTGACTCCTGACTGCGGGAAATCAGCTGAAAGCCCCAGTGGCATCACAATGGATGACAAACCCCATCACATTGTCCTGGTGGATGGTGAGGCACAAAGAGCTCTGTCCTTGGCCAGCAGCAGCTCCTGCATCTCCCTGCTGTGAGACCCGCCTCGCTTGCCCGTGGTCATGCCCAGATGTGTTAGCTGGGAAGGCTGTGGGGACACAGGGCCTGGCCCACACAGGAAGGAGACATCAGTGCACATGGCCTTTGGGTCTGACTCTTGAGGGGACCCAGATGGTGCCCCAAAAAGCCCGTGGTGGTGGTGGGATGGCAGCAAGGGAGGGCGAGTCCCTTCCCAGCCCGGGGATTGCCGCGGTGGTCTAAGGACCCGTCTTGTTGCTGTGGATTAGTGCCATAATTTTTGCAGTTTGGCAAGGCTGCATCAGACTGGAACGTATCTCTAGGTGGTGATATGGTCAGTCAATAGCCTTCATAATTAATCAAGCACTAATAGACAAATTAGAAATCATGTCTCTTCAGAGCAGGAGGTGGAGACAAATGACTGGTGGATTTTAACTGTTTCGCTCCGTTGTTTTTTTTGCCTCCCTTGAAAATGGTGGGTTGTTTAGGGAAGTTTTGTACATAAACATGATTTAAAATGTAAATTATTATCTTGATTACCAAACACAGACAGTGAATTGAAAACTTATTTTTCAGGCAAGCACATGAAGAATAATCTTACATTTTACACTCCACTAAGTCAATGTAGCCCTAATTTTGCCACGCAGGAAATCAATTCCAGTCTTTATAACAGTCGAAGATGTTATGAACAAAGTAATTTTGCAAATTATGGCAAGTAACACATTTATTGATGACTGTAGCTTAGGAATTTAGAATTTGTGAGCACTGTAATATAATAAGGCCGCACTGGCAGGAGCTGAGTGAAATACAGATTATACGGTGAAACTGTAATGCATCATTTGCTATTAGTGGACTGGTAATAATTACCAGTTTCAAAGCAGCTTTTTCCATGTAATCTTTAGTCTCAGTCGTAACAGCCCTTCTCATTGACATTATGATTACACGAGCTGCCCTTATGATCTAGAATATCTAGTTGATGGGAATACTAAAATGTGGTAGCAAACACTCGATGTTGTATCCTCATTATAAGATAAAATGCTATTTTCTCTGACCTGATCCATAAGGTAGAGAGGCAAGGTAGTGTTTCGTTGTTAGCTCCTACCGTGGTGTTAAAAACATCCACTTCAATATGATGAAGCAAGATAATTTTTTTTCTCCCCCCCAAGCTCACAAATGAGCACAGGAATGTGAAAGTCCAATTGAATTTCACTCTAATCTCAGTAGATTTAAGTATTTATCTGTGCTCACATGCCTGGCACATACTAAACACAGCGATGCAGGCTTCAGAGTGAAACATTAAATATTATTCCAAAGGCTTTTAAAGTGATTAAAGTGTTAAATGCCTGCTGTAGATGATTGAGGCTCTTTGCTTGCCTGATTCAGCTTCTCAGGCCAAACGTGGAATAGCGGCAGAGCTGGGAGGCAGGGAGGGAAGCTGGGATGGAGCAGTACAGCCAGTGCTGGATCTCAGGATCATGGAATGGTTTGGGTTGAAAGGGACCTTAAAGATGCCTGGTTCTGTCCTGTATCCCAAGATCATCGAGGAGGAAAATGCCCACATGACATTTTCCTCCCGTCCTCCCCGTGAGATGGGAAAAAAGATGGGAGCACATAAAGTGATGTTCCCTTTCCTAATTCACCTTTTTTGGTTTTTTTAAATCTTCCTTTTCTTTGTATTAGGCAAATAGGGGAAACCTAATGAGGGCAACTGTCAGTGCAGCCTGTTTACCCAAGAGAGATGCCTAAAGAGCAGATGCCTTGGGATGTAAATGTTGAGTCAGGGCAGGAATATGTGGTGAAGGCCAGTACCGCCCCAAGTGCTGATGCCCTTGGAAGGCTCCTGGTTTATCTCTCAGCTAACCTCAACGTTATTTTTATTTGTTAAAATATCGCTAAACAACAGCTCCATGAGAAGTGCTGAACAAGGCTGGAAATGAATTTATATCCTTCTCTTAGCTCCAGCTTCGGTTTACCGGCATTTAGCAAATAGCATCCATATGGGGGTGGAAGTGAATTATTTGCAAAATCCCAGTAATCAATAAAGGCACCCTCACCTTCGCCATATCTCATGCCACTCTTCCCAAACAGGCGGCCCTCAAAAAGTTATTCATCCCCCTTGTTTTGCCGTATATTAGAAGGGGCTGCTTTCTGCTGTCATTATTAGCCGGCTTTTTGTTTAGTTATTTATTAGTTGGTTGCTCTTTTATAATGTCCGTGTTATCTCCAAAAATAAATTATCATGAAATAGAGTTAGCTCACTACTTGCCAAAGTGGCATTTACCATCCTCAGCTTCTTTTCAGCGCGAGAGAAATAATGCGGCTCCGGCAGGGCGCTCGGCCAGGCCTCCTGGCCGGCCTCCAGCTCTTTCCCTGGCGGAGCTGCCACTCTCTCTGTCTTCTCCTTTCCCTGTCCTGTGCTGGATTTATTTTTTTTTTCGTCCCCCCTTCCCTTTTTATTTTCATTTCTTTCCTTGCCCCAGAGGTGAATCTCTGCTAAGGAGCAGAAGTTGATTCTAAATTTTGTACACATTGTTAGCCTCGAAATAAGGAGGAGACTAAAAACGTGGTGGATGCCCAGCTTTCTGGCAGTTGTGATGCTTTGAACTGATCTGTGTGGAGTGCTTTTCAGAAAAGAATTTCTTTATTTTGTATTTATTTATATATTTATTTACATATTTATTTACAAATACTCTAAGTGCCTACAGCTTCAGTCAACTGAGTTGGAGCTGGATTTGATTGACTTCAACATCTCTTGCTTTTCTTGGCCTGTTTTATTCTATGGGTGCCCAGCATGGTTCAGTTTTGAACCCAGAGCTGGGCGTGGTGGGAGGAGGTGGATGTGCTTGCTCTCTTCCCATTCCTGTCCCCTGCCTGTCCCTGGGCTGGGATGTCCCTTGCCCAGCTCCCAGCTGAGCGTCCCAGAGGAGGAGAGGAGGTTAGGCGGGGAGGCGAGCGCTCGCCCGCCGCTGGACGGCCGGAGATTGACGCTGCTTGTTGTGTTATTTTGCAGGTAAAGATGAGCCCAGCAGCTACACGTGTACGACTTGTAAACAGCCTTTCAACAGCGCCTGGTTCCTCTTGCAGCACGCACAGAACACACACGGCTTACGGATCTACCTAGAAAGCGAGCACGGCAGCCCCCTGACGCCACGGGTTGGTATCCCAACAGGACTAGGTGCAGAGTGCCCTTCCCAGCCACCTCTCCACGGGATTCACATTGCAGACAATAACCCTTTTAACCTGCTCAGAATACCCGGCTCGGTCTCGAGGGAGGCGTCGGGGCTGGGAGAAGGGCGTTTCCCACCCACGCCGCCCCTCTTTAGCCCTCCCCCGAGGCACCATTTGGATCCGCATCGCATTGAGCGCCTGGGTGCGGAAGAAATGGCTCTGGCCACCCATCACCCTAGTGCCTTTGACAGGGTGCTGCGACTGAACCCCATGGCGATGGAGCCCCCCGCTATGGATTTCTCCCGGAGGCTGCGGGAGCTGGCCGGCAACACCTCCAGCCCACCCTTGTCCCCGAGCCGGCCCAGCCCTATGCAAAGGTTGCTGCAGCCCTTCCAGCCCGGCAGCAAGCCCCCGTTCCTGGCCACGCCACCCCTCCCTCCTCTGCAGTCTGCTCCTCCTCCCTCCCAGCCCCCCATGAAGTCCAAGTCCTGCGAGTTCTGTGGGAAGACCTTCAAGTTTCAGAGCAACCTGGTGGTGCACCGCCGGAGCCACACGGGGGAGAAGCCCTACAAGTGCAACCTCTGCGACCACGCCTGCACGCAGGCCAGCAAGCTGAAGCGCCACATGAAGACCCACATGCACAAGTCCTCCCCCATGACGGTGAAGTCGGACGACGGGCTCTCCACCGCCAGCTCCCCTGAGCCGGGCACCAGCGACCTGGTGGGCAGCGCCAGCAGCGCCCTCAAGTCCGTGGTGGCCAAGTTCAAGAGCGAGAACGACCCCAACATGATCCCTGAGAACGGGGATGAGGAAGAGGAGGAGGAGGAGGAGGAAGAGGAGGAGGAGGAGGAGGAAGAGGAGGAGGACTTGAACGAGAGCGACAGGCCGGACTATGGCTTCGGGATGAGCCTGGAGGCGGCCCGTCACCACGAGAACAACTCGCGGGCTGGCGAGGAGGGCCGGGCGATGCCGGACGTCATGCAAGGCATGGTCTTGAGCTCCATGCAGCACTTCAGCGAGGCCTTCCACCAGGTCCTGGGGGAGAAACACAAGCGGGGCCACCTCCCCGAGCCCGAGGTGCACAGGGACACTTGCGACGAAGACTCGGTGGCCGGCGAGTCCGACCGCATCGACGAGGGGGCCGTCAACGGCCGGGGCTGCTCCCCGGGGGAGTCTGCCTCGGGAGGCCTGTCCAAAAAGCTGCTGCTGGGTAGCCCCAGCTCCCTGAGCCCCTTCTCCAAACGCATCAAGCTGGAGAAGGAGTTCGACCTGCCGGCCGCCGCCATGCCCAACACCGAGAACGTTTACTCCCAGTGGCTGGCGGGCTACGCCGCCTCCCGGCAGCTGAAGGACCCCTTCCTCAGCTTCGGCGACTCCCGACAATCGCCCTTCGCCTCCTCCTCCGAGCACTCCTCGGAGAACGGCAGCCTGCGCTTCTCCACGCCGCCGGGCGAGCTGGACGGAGGGATCTCAGGCCGCAGCGGCACGGGAAGCGGAGGGAGCACCCCCCATATTAGTGGCCCGGGCCCTGGCAGGCCCAGCTCAAAAGAGGGCAGACGCAGCGACACTTGTGAGTACTGTGGGAAGGTCTTCAAGAACTGTAGTAATCTCACCGTCCACAGACGGAGCCACACGGGCGAGAGGCCGTATAAGTGTGAGCTTTGCAACTACGCCTGCGCCCAGAGTAGCAAGCTCACCCGGCACATGAAAACACACGGGCAGGTGGGAAAGGACGTTTACAAATGCGAGATTTGTAAGATGCCTTTTAGCGTGTACAGTACCCTGGAGAAACACATGAAAAAATGGCACAGTGATCGAGTCTTGAATAACGAGATAAAAACTGAATAGAGGTATATTCGTACCCCCCCACCCCCATCCACACCGCCCCCCCCCACCCCACCCCCCGCCCCGCATCCCCGTAGAGATTTTCTAGTCCCTTGTGATGGAAGTCATGGAAGCTAAGGATATTTGGAAAGTGCTTGTCACCAGCACACCCTGTTTATTTTCTTTTTGTTCTCACCGTTTGAATGCATGATCTGTATCGGGGCAATACTATTGCATTTTACGCAAACTTTGAGCCTTTCTCTTGTGCAATAATTTACATGTTGTGTATGTTGGGGTTTTTTTTTTTTTTGGGTTGTTTTTTTTTTTATTTTGGTTGGTTTTATTTTTTTAATTTCTTTTTCTTTTTTAATTTTTGGATTAGACAGCATGTATGGTATGTTATGGCTGTTTTTAAATTGTCCCTGATTAGTTGCTGAGCAAACACGTCGCTGTTTCCAATTCCGTTCGGGAAAAAAAAAAAAGGAAAAGAAAAAAAAAAAAGAGGAAAAGAGGAAAAAAGAGGAGAGGAGGAGCAGGAGGAAAAAAAAAAACAAAAAAAAGAAAAGTGAAACAAAACCAAACCCGAGAGCAAACAAAACCGACCATGCTGCATACATACATCCTGTAATACATATCATGTACAGTTTTGTTTTGTGACGTGCAAAGGAAAGCTCGCTGTGGGTGACCCTCTGCGGACAGGACCGATAGCACCGAAGAAGCGTTGTGTTAGCCTAGATCGCTGTCTTAAACCAATAAACCCACGATTGGAGACAGAGTTCCCCTCGGGAACACTAAAAACGGCCTTTAATTGGGAATAACCGACCGCCACCAGTCAGGAAGAGGTAGATTTCTCTCTTAGCTTTTGATTTCAAACACACCCGCCCACCCACAAAAATAATAATAATGATAATAATGATGATGATAATGATAATAAGTAATCCGAGTGCCTTGGGTCAGCCACGGCCGATGGCAGTGGCTCCTTTCTGCTCGTCCTCCACGCGCAGCTCGTCGCCAGCTCGGCCGCGCTGGAGCCGCCTCGTGCCCCTCACGCCGCCGCCCACCTAGGAACGAAGAGGGAAGAGGAAACTAAGGAAGAGAAAGACATGACCCGCTCAGTCCTAGTTAATCATCATTCTCCTCTGCCTTTTATTGTTATTATTAATTATTATTATTATTACTATTATTTTTTTAAAACTGATCGAACCGGTCTAAAACCCTGCTTGGCTCGTGGAGAGAGCTTAAAACGAGATGTAGAACCTGCCCCTCGCCCGCCCTGCCCCAAACTTTTATTCCCCCTCCCCATCCATGATTAAATAGAATGTGAAACGCGCAGAGGCCCTTCAACACCATTAAACACACAATAAAGGAAATCCGTTTTATGAAGATATTTACTTTTAATAATATCTTTTATTGATTCTGGCACCAAAACAAATAAATCCGGAGCCACTTGGTTGTCAAGCTGACAATCAAATTATAAACTTTAAGACCCTGTGTATACCGTATAAAAAATAAAATAAAGACTGGCAATAATATTTTACCGAGTGTAACAGATAGAGGAGCAAAAAAATAAATAAATTGTGATTTATTAGCACAATGTGGTACTGTTTGCCATTTAAAACTAGAACAGGTGTATAAGCTAATATCGACACAGTGGTGATTAACTATGAACTCTTATAAGACTTGCCTTTAATGTGATGCTTTGGAAGAAGTAACAGGAAATTAAAAAAAAAAAAAGGAAGAAAAAAAGCAAAAGAGTAGCAGTATCTGTTTGTGCTCCCTAAAAGTTGTCCTTCATTTTTTTTTTCCCATCCTCTGTGTGCTATTTGTGTTGACGTGGAAGAGGATTCCTTGTTTTATTCCTAAGCTAGCGCCTGCCCCGGTTGGTGTTCAAATAGCACTTGACTCTGCCTGTGATGTCTGTATCTTTTCTTTAATCAAAGGTACAGAGGTTGAGTATAAAATAAGACTGCTCAGATAGGACAATTAAGTGCACTGTACAATTTTCCCAGTTTACAGGTCTATACTTTTAAGGGAAAAGTTGCAAGAAAGCCGAAAAGAAAAAAAAAAAATTTAAAAAAGGAAAATTCAACACACATTTGATGAGCATAAAAAAAACAACAAAAAAAAAAACCCACAAAACCCCACAAACTTTGCCAGCCATTTACTTGACTAATGAGCTTATCTTCTCGGACGCGACATTACAGCGCTGTGAATGGAAACAGACTCTACACTCACATAAAATGAATGATTGCTTTCACTCCTACAGTGCAAGGATTTTTTTTTTTTGTACAAAAAGAAAAGGATTTAAAAAAAAAAAACAAACACCACAAAACCTTTTTTTAAATATAAATGTTAAGAAAATTTTTTTAAGGAAGAAAAAGAAAAAAAAACCACAACACTTCATTATGTTTAGGGGGAAACTGTATTTTAGGGTTCATTGTCTTGGTGGTGTACAAGACTTGTTACTCATTTTAAAATGGTAGTGGAAATTCTATGCCTTGGATATACACAGCTCTTCAGGTTGTATAAAAACATGCATTGGGGAAAGGTTTTAAGATTATATAGTACTTAAATATAGGAAAATGCACACTCATGTTGATTCCTATGCTAAAACACATTTATGGTCTCTTTTTTCTGTATTTCTAGAATGGTATTTGAATTAAATGTTCATCTAGTGTAGGCACTATAGTATTTATATTGAAGCTTGTATTTTTAACTGTTGCTTGTTCTCTCAAAAGGTATCGATGTACCTTTTTTGGTAGTGGAAAAAAAAAAAAACCACAGGCTGCCACAGTATATTTTTTTAATTTGGCAGGATAATATAGTGCAAATTATTTGTATGTTTCAAAAAAAAGAAAAAAGACAAAAAGACAAAAAAGGTGTGACATTGTACAGATCCGAGGCCATATAATGGCCCTTTGGGGGAAACCTGTTCCGATGTCACGCTGCTGGCCGTCACAGAGGGGTGTACATATCTTTTTTCGTTCTTTTTTCCTGCTGCCATACTGTATGCAGTACTGCAAGCTAATAACGTTGGTTTGTTATGTAGTGTGCTTTATGTCCCTTTCCTTCTATCACCCGACATTCCAGCATCTTAACTTCATATGCAGTAAAAGAAAGAAAAGAAAGAAAAGAAAAGAAAAGAAAAGAAAAGAAAGAAAAAAAAAAGCTAAAAAAAAAGGAAAAAAAAAAAAGAAAAGAAAAAACCGTTTTGCAGTTTTTTTCATTGCCAAAAACTAAATGGTGCTTTATATTTAGATTGGAAAGAATTTCATATGCAAAGCATATTAAAGAGAAAGCCCGCTTGAGTCAATACTTTTTTGTAAATGGCAATGCAGAATATTTTGTTATTGGCCTTTTCTATTCCTGTAATGAAAGCTGTTTGTCGTAACTTGAAATTTTATCTTTTACTATGGGAGTCACTATTTATTATTGCTTATGTGCTCTGTTCAAAACAGAGGCACTTAATTTGATCTTTTATTTTTCTTTGGGGGTTTTTTTTGGGGGGGGAGTTTTTTTAAATTTTTTTTTAATTTTTTTTTTTTTTTATTATTTGGATGACCAAAGGTCATTACAACCTGGCTTTTTATTGTATTTGTTTCTGGTCTTTGTTAAGTTCTATTGGAAAAACCACTGTCTGTGTTTTTTTGGCAGTTGTCTGCATTATCCTGTTCATACACCCATTTTGTCCCTTTATTGAAAAAATAAAAAAAAAACCTTAAAGTACACAGTGTCAGCTTCTGGTGTCCTCATTTGACACACGCTGCAGGTGGCTCCAGCAGCAGGCTCTAGGGGAAGGGGCCTTTGGGGGGCCCGCTCCAGCGCCCACCGCCCAGCTTGGCCTTACCTAGATGGGCCCCTCGGCCCAGGAAGGGGATTTTTGGGCTAAGGAGGTCACTGTCCACCAGTGGAAGGTGTTTGCAGTCTGGACCTGTAGCTTTGGGATTTCCCCCCTCTAGATCAGGAGTGACTGTGAGCCCTCACCGCGATAGCCCTGCGGCACCCCGGCCTTCACCCGCTCTGCAGCAGGGACCTCCCTCCCTCCCTCCCTGCCCTGGGGCCGATCTGTGCCACAAGAGGTGAGCAAACCACAGCTCTGCAGCCCCCGGGGCTCCCCGTCCCCTGCTGCTTTTGGGGACGGGGTGAAGTCACCCCTGGCACCTGAGAGCTGATTTCTCTGGGGGGCCGAGGTCTCTGGGGTCGCACCGAGCCCAGCCCAAAGCTCCCAGCCCCACTCCCAGCTGGAGCTGGGAGCTCCCTGCTTTTCTCCCCGGGCTTTGATTTTTTTTCTTGGCTTTTTGGTGGGAATTGCAGGTTTCTGTGCATTGTCTCTAAAATCCGGAGTTCAGGTCCCCCCCGTCCCCCCTTAGGGGTCTGTATATGTTGTCAGTTTGACAAATACTGCATGTTGCAGCATCTCTTTACTTTATTAAAGCACATACCGCTGTGATATTGTCTCTTGCTGTTCCTAGTGTAATGGATTTAATACTATTTTTTTCTTTTCCTTTTTTTTTGATTTCTGTAAAACCTTCCAGTTGTTCTGTTGTCTTCTTGTGATGGCATCATTTGTTGCCTGTATTTTGCCCGGCGCCTTCTGAAGGGGGAGGTTTGGAATTTTAAAAAAAGACAGAAATACCTATCTAAAGAAGAAAAATATGTTCTTTTTCTAAGAGAGTTTTGAAAAGAATGTAGTAAAGAATATTTTAGTCCTGGAAGAGGAGTGGGGAAGGTTTTGTTGTCTGGGCTATTGGGATGAGAGTGTGGGAGGGCTGGAAAGGTGTCGGCAGTGCCCCCCGAGCTGCTGTCCCCTTCAGCAGGGTGGTACCCGCTGGCTGGGGCTGCAGTGGTGCCAGAGGGATCCCTGGCACAGGGGAGGCACAGTCCCACCCCTGTGGGGGAGCTCCAGGTGGCAGGCATGGACACGGGCTGTTCCCTGGAGGGGCAGTGCCCGCGGGGATGTGCTTTGCAGCTGCCTTGATGACGCATCTTTTGATGCTGTGCCAGGAAATACCTGTACAGAGTCCGGTCTCTCCCTCTCTGTCCCTGTTTTTATGGCTGGTTGTTGTGAGACCACGGTGGAGGTGTTTCCTAGAGGACTGGGGTTAGGCTGTGCCCGGGGTTGAGCATAGCCTGGGTGTGTTATGGAGTGGGTGCTGTACCCTGGGTTTGTCCTACAGTGGTTGTTGTCCCACTGCCGTTCCCTACATTGTGTTTTACTTACGGAGTAATCTCATATGGAAGCACATTGGTGGGCATCTGCATGTATCCGTAGGCAGGCATCGCTAGGCAGACCTGTGCTGCCACAGTGGAAAGCAAACTGTTGACTTCTCTGTGATTCCCAGGTTTCCCAGAGCTGAATTTCCCAGGTTTCCCAGAGAGGAAGGAGCCCGGTGGGTGCCATGTGGTGCACAGGGCAGGGGCAGTGGTGTGCAGGAAGGAGCAGCTCCTGCTGTAGGAGGAGTTGTCTGAGCAGAGGCTGGCGAGGGCATAGCTCGCTAGTGGCAATGGCCTGGCACCCCACACCAAAGCAGGAGTGCATGGATGTGGTGTTTTCCTGCCGGGGCAGTAAGTCAGGGGTGTGATGAACCCGCTGGAGTTTGTTGGGTTGGGGTGTGGGTGTGCCAGGCCCCACCACGAGCTCTCGAGCTGCTTTGGCATCCCGTGCACGCATGATCTGAGCTGCCCAGAGCCTTCCCTGTTGCTGTGCAAAAAGGTGTCTCTAGGAATGAGTGATAGTTGGGCAACAGCATCTATCATTAAAATCTCAAGCTCTGTTTTGAGGGGGAACATGGGTTTATGGCATGGACCCTTTAGTGTCTAATCTCCTCCAAATGCAATGATTTTTGTAATGAAGGCGCTGAAACAGTATCCAGAATTTAGGCTACAGATGTTTCATATTACTATGTTTCCAAGGGCTGAGCTAATACAGGAATAAGCGATACCATGTCTTTGCTTGACATTCAGGAGGCTGTGGCGTATCTGATGAGATACAGTTTTGGGGTTTATCTAAGCGCAGAGTTTGTACCCAACAGAAAAATGATACCAGCTGCTCTCTTAGATCCCTCCTTCTCTTTTTCCCTCCACTAAAGGTTGAAACCCACTTCTGGCGGATGCATGGACAAATTGTAGTATTGACTAGCAGAGAGCGATACTGCCCGGAGGGCTCTTTGCCAGAGCTGCTGAAGAGATGCTGCTCCTCGAGCCCAGATGCTCGGCTGCTGCTTTCCTACGAGCCACAGGGATGCAGGAGGGACAGGAGGCGTGGGGGAAAGAACCCCAAGGTTTTGTGCCCCTCAGCAGGACTTAAGCTTTGCATTGGTGGTGTGCTAGTGGCTGGGATGGCTGTGCTGCCCTTGGCTGCCTTGGAAGTCCCAGCCAGCTTTAACATTAGCCTGGAAACTTGGGCTCAGACAGGAGCAGCAGCTATCCCTCCCTGGAGGGAAACCAGGCATGGTGCTCCTGACTTCAGAGGAGACATTCCAGTTAATACCCACTGAAGACCTGGCCTAGGAAGGAGCTGGTTACTGAGTCCTGATGGCAGCTCACGTGTAGTAGCCCTTTAACCACTCTTTTAAGTATGAATGAAGTAAATTCCACGAAAAGCAGCTCCCCATTGGGTGGCCGAGGTGGATTTTGAGGAGTGTGTTGACGATGTGCCGGCCTTGCCTCGGTGTAGCCCTCGGCCTGTCGTGTGGGTAGGGCAGTGCTGGGTGACCAGCCTGGAGCTGGGAATGGCTGCTGGGAATGTCTGCTTTCCAGTGCCCCTGCCGTGCTTTGCTGGGTGTGGGCTGGGGCAGTGCAGCTGGAGCTTTGCTGCCGTGTGATATCCACGTGCTGGGAGCTGGGAAAAGCCCTCGGTGATCCACCCGCCGTGTGCCGTGTTACCAGTCCCAATGGCTTCAGCAGGGCCTTCTGCACCTGGGGGAAGCCCACGAGGGTTTGGGAAGGACTAGGAGGAGGTTTGCAAGACAGGCTGGCTTGGTCCTTGCCCAGTATAGCCCGGAGGTTTTTCCTCCTAAACGATCCCTGTGGTGCCGAGGATGCCGGATGCGGGAGCGTGGCCTGAGAGAGGAAGGGCTCCGTGCTGCCGTGTCCCTCTGTGGCAGCTGGGTGCCCCAGATGTTAGAGACAGAAAAGGGACAGACAGAAGTAGGGTGAGGGGATGACTCACACCGTGGGCCGTGTCACAGCTGTTCTCTCCTCTGTCCCATGCTCTCTGTAGGTTCGGCGTACCCCCCCAGCTGGCGCGGCGCCCAGGGAGCCCCGGATGTCTGGCAGTTTTCGGATGGAAGTTCCAGAGCACTTAAATTCTGAGAGGAGGTGAAGCTGGGGCGAGCGGCCGGCGGCGTCTGGGCGTGCGGAGGTGCCTCTGTCCTGTGGCTCATCCATCCTTCCATCCATCCCGGGAGAGCCTGAGGAGTCACCCGCCGACAGCAGCTCCCCGGGCTCCTCCTGCCTGCAAGACTATCGTATTTATATTTTGTAATAGAGTACAACACTTCTTTGGGGCTGGGGTTTTCGGTTTTTTGGGGGTTTCTTTTTGTTCATTGGGGTTTTTTTTTTTCATTTTCTAAAAACAAACAAACGAAAAAAACCCCACCCACCAAGGTCAAGGGCTTAATGATGGCTCCGACTGGCTCCTTTCCCCATGGAAAAGACTGTCTTGCTCTCGTGGACAACTCAGCCTCTTGGTTATCCCCGCAATGTGCCATTCCTCGGGAGGCACATCTGATGTGATGAATTAAAAATAAAGCAAAACACAGTGTAGGTCTGTGGGTGGGTGGGAAATTGCCATAATAAATGTTGGAGCTTTAGGTTTTGTTTGCTCTGTCTTTAATTTTTAATGCTAACAAGGACCAGACGGCTGGTGTGGCTCTGTGTTCCCGTGCCGGCTGCTGCAGAAGAGCGAGTGCTGGGTTTTCACTGGTGATGGTGCTGGCACTGGGGGCTGCCTGGCCTTGGTGGACAGGACAGACCTTTCCCACAGAGCTAGGCCAGGAGTTGGGCTTAGGGCTGGGCACTGAGTGCTGCTGAGCCACCTCTGGCTTTTGATGATGCTGAAGGGGGGGTTTCCTTGGTGAATTCCAGCTGTGGTGTTGCATGGGCTCTGTGATGTCTGCTCGAGGAGAAGCGAGGCCAGCAGAGGTTTGGGAGGGGTGACAGCCGTGCTGAGGGTCAGAGCAGGGATGCAGAGCTGCCCTGAGCTGGGGCAGCTGCTGCTGCCAGGTTGTTGTCCCGGTGTTTCCCAGGCTTTGCGTCCCTTGCTCGGCACTGAGCAGCACCAAGGAGTGTCCTGGGTAGGGCCAGGCTCTGTGCTGAGCAGAAGATGGGTTATGTGAGAGCTTTGTGCTGGCTCTGATGGGGCTGACAGGCTGTAGCTGCTGATGCCCGTGCTGGCTGGTGGGAATGGGCCTTATTTGGTGAAAGGAGCAGCGAGTGGAGAGGCTGGCTGGGATCAGCGGGATGGAGCCGTGGGGAAAGGACCAGAGGATTGCCTGGCTTTGGGCATTAACTCAGCCCCACTCCTGTTCTGTTCATCTCTTGCTTACAGTGTGAGTGAGAGCCTCACTTGGGGTGACTCTGCTGGTGGAACAGCCCTAGGGAAAACGATGTTGCCTTTTCCATGGACAGTGTTGCTCTTTTGTTTGTTGTTTAAAACCCTGGGCTGTGTTTTTCTCGTGGTGCCCTGGGCACAGCACAAACACAGACACTTCAGTACCTTAAAATCTGCCTGGGGTGGGCAGCAGGAGCATCTCTGAGGGGTGCCACTCTGGAAGCCCGGAGCACTTGGGATGGACACCAAGGGAGCTATTGCTGCTTCTCCTGAGGTGATCTGGTCCTTGAGGGCAAACCACCCAAAAGTCTACGCACAGCCTCAGCTCTTTTTTTACCATGAGGGGATGTTTTTAACGTTTCTTCCTAACCCAGCCTGTGCTGCCACCTCTGTGTCTGCTCCTAGGGGGGTTTTGAGCCTTGCAAGGGTGAGTCCTGTTGGATCAAGCACCCGGTTGATTGTGGGTGCACAGTGGTGGAGGGTCAGACACTGCTCCTGCCTGCCCTGGGGTCTCTGCTGCAGGCCGTGTGTCAGATCAGGGATGTGCAGTCGCTGACTGCCAGGGGGATGCTCTGCCCGTTCCTCTGGGCTGCTGGGCAGGGCTCACCTGGTCTGTACCCACAGCAACCCTGGCCAGGGCTCTGGGGAGCTGCTGTGTGAGGGGCTCCAGTGAGCTGGCTCCTTCTGGGGGTGTCTGACCCTCGCTCTGTGTGAGCACAGGCCAGACTCAGTTTGTGGGTGTCTCCTGGGCCAGCTGGTTGTGCTTTTGCTGCTCTGCCTGGTGGAACAAGTGATGGGATCTGCTTCTCTGGCTGTGGCTTGTGTCTCCTTCAGCAGGCAGCGTGAGGGCAAGGGCTTCTCCCAGAAATAACAAAGTGGGGGTGGCTGAGAGTGTTCTGCCAAGCACAGAAGTGATACCTGACATGCTGAAGATGTAGCCAGTCTTTAAAATGTCTATTTTTTAATACAGTTGTTAAAAACTCTCCCCCAACTCTTAGGGCTTTGAAACATCTTCAGAATTCGTGTTGCCTTAACGGGTGCCATGTCTGTGCTGAGAGCCCCCTGTGAGCCATGGGGCTCCTGCTCCTGCCCCTGCTCCTGCTCCAGACCCTGCTGTGGCTCCTGCAGAGCCCCAGGACAGCCTCAGCACCGGGGCTGGTGGAGATCCCAAAGGATTTCCACTGCCCTGGGTGACCTGCGGGGCTGTGTGTTTAATTCAGGGTGTCATCAGGGCCCTCCTTTTGTCTGAGCAGGGCTTGGCTGAGTCCCCTTGCTGTGTCTGGGCTTGGGATCACCACCATAATGAGTTTCCGTCAATTAACAGGAGTCAAAGGTTTCCTGAGGAGAGGGCTGGGAAGTTGTTAGAGGGGCAATATTCCCAGGGATTTTGTATTTTGGCATATTCTCCAGGTGCTGGTCTGCACATCCAAATTGGAAATAAGGTGTGGTTGGCCTTTATTAAGAAAACAAAGCTCATAAAGTTTTGGGGTTCTTAATAAAGAAAAGATGAATGTTCTTCCCAGTCCTGGGGGATGAGATGAACAAGATTCCTGGGAATCACCTGGCTTAACTTTGAGGGTTTGGGTTTAAAAAGCTGCTTTCAGGCTTGGAGATGATGTGCCTATGCTGTGTTTGATTTCTAAGCACACTTTTCCTGACACTAAAATGCAGCAAAGGTCAAGCCTTTTGTGAAGTCTAGCTTAAATTTTGCTTTCAAAATAATGTATGTTTTGGATTCGTGGTGCATCTGGGCTGTGGACTTTTATGGGATGCAAGACCTCTCCCCAGAAGGGATCTGAAAACAGATTTTGTGAGTGAGTTTCCAAGCAAAACTGCCAAGCTCCTTGTGGTTTTTTCCAATTCCAGCTTTGTGTTGGGTCCCACTGGGTGACTGTGTTCAAGCAGCACCGTGGTGTCGGTGGGTGACAGCACAGCTGAGGGCTCTGGGGGAAGGTGCAGGGAAGCTCCATCCTCCTTGGGGTATTTTAGCATCTTTAGCCTTTCCTTTGGGTTTGCATCTCCTTTCCTGTGTGTGTTTGAGCTGCCTGGGTGCTGGTGAGGCCTGGGGTGAGCCTTTACCTGTGGAATTTTGGCAGTGGGGGGGGACAGGACCTGCTGAGCAGCACTGCTGTCCCAGGGCTCCCTGCTCTGCTGGGGTTCCACCTGGCCCCACTGGAAAGTCTCACTGGGGAGTGAGCTGGACCCCCAGCCCCCAAAAACAGGAGTGGTGCCTCATTTCCTTCTGCTCTGCTTCTCCTCCCACCCAGCTCTCCCATTCCAGGCTCCATCATTGCATTGTGTGTTGTATCTGCTGCAGGTCAAACATTGCCCCTCCATCCCAGTTCTCTCCCCCAAAAATCATCCTCTTAGGATTCCTCTTCTGCAGGGGTCCCAACAATCAGCTATTCCCAAGGCAAGGTGGAGTTGCAGAACGGGGACAGAATGAAACCTCCAAACCCCCAACACGGCCCTTCCTCCTTAATCTCCCTGGATAGAGTTACACATCTGGTGGAGGCTCGCTGGTTGTTGCCATGGTTTTATTGCATCTTTAGCAGTGATGAGGTTCAGATGGCAGGACCAGGGGGCCCTGGTTCCATTTCTCCTGCTGGCCTCCCATAGTGAGCGTGGTGCGATCCCGGGAACGCCGACTCCGAGGGCGGGAGCAGGGGGAATCCTGGCCCTGGGCATGGCAGCAGGTGGGTGGAGGTGCCTGTGCTGGGTGAGCACCACATTCTGCACGGAGGGGACGATGGGCAGGTGGTTTCTCCTGACAAAACCCATTTGGTGCATTCCCACCTTTGGTGCATTCCCGCCTTTCCTGTGCCCGGGGTGTGTGCGCTGCGCCGCTTCCCGAGCTCGGTCCATCCCTGGTGGTGGCTCTTCCCTGGCCCTTTCCATGACGCTCTGGGCTCCCAGTGGTGATGTACAGAAGCTCCCCCCAATGTCTGCATGTGTCTAAGGGCTATTAAGGACTCCCTGGCGGGCCCCCGTGGGCGGGATTTGTGCATGCAAAATGAAGGTTGTGTTTGGCTTCTCATACTCGGGTCTATATTCCATATTGTGTTGACCAAGAAAAACACCTCAGCCCCTGTGCTGAAGAATGTGATGGACTGATGGCTTTCAGAAACGTACTGTAAATCAAGGAGGCTAATAAATACTTGCTATTGATAAAACGGGGCTACTGCCTTTCGAGTTTTTTGCACGTTTTGCAGCATCCTGGTTTAAATGGCACGGAGGAGGTGGCACCTTTGGGCCTCTCCTCCTCCCCCAGCACTCTGTGGCTCAGCTGAACCCCCCAAGGGCTTGGGCAGGAGCTTTTCCTCAGTGAGGAGGTTTGGATGGAGCAGCCCAACCCCACGGAGCTGATGGGAGGTGACCCCAGTGGTGCAGGGTTCCCTTGGCAGAGGGTGGCCTCTGGCAGCCCTTGCTCCATGGCTTATGTCCATGAAACCCCCCACTGGTGGGCATCCCCAAAACCCCCCTGTGCCCCTAATTCCACTATGGATAAAACTTATTTTTCATGTTCTCCTTCCAACAGACCTTCTCCTTGCTCCCTGCCTGGCACGCTCCCCTGGGCTTTGGCTTTTCCATGTGGAGGCTTTGGGGAGGAACATCCCTTTGGGAGCTGCTCTGCACCTGGCTGCTCCAGTTGGCTTTTTTTTTTGCTTTTTGTTGCCTGAAATCCCCCTTTAGCTGTTTTCCTTACTTTTTTCCCTCTCTCCCCTGCACCTTCTGCAGCTGTAGTGATTAAAGGGGAGGGGAAAAAGGAAAAAAATAAAAAGCTTATTTAAAGCAGAGCCTGGCAATATAAAACAAGGTGTGGAGGTGATGAATGATCCCGGGGTACATTAAAGCAGGGGCTGGCACTTTCGTGTTCCAGCGCTCCCGGAGCTGTTTGGGAATGCCGGGCATCCGCCCCGGGGCAGGATTCGGGCAAGTTCAAAAACCTCCCCTGGGATTCGGGCAAGCCCTGGCTGCTTTCCCTCTCCCCGAGACCCGGGTGCTGCTGCTCAGAGGCGGGGCTGGGGGGCCACGGAAAGACAGAAGGACAGAAGGACAGAAGGACAGAAGGACGGATCCCCCCTGGCGCTGCTCCAGCTCCTTGGGGCGACGGGAGCAGAGGATGGATGCATGGATGGATGGATGGATGGATGGATGGATGGGCACACCTGCAAGGTGCAGGGATGGGGAAAGCCTCCCTGGCTTCCAAATGCTTTTTGGAAGTGCATTCCCAGCACTGCAGTCAGGAGAGAGGGAGGA